TTTATGAGCTGAGAAAAACTGAGTATAATTTGGCAGAGGAAAAAACAATGGATCTTTCATGAAATAGAGGATTTCCAAATATTCCTGATGAAAAGATCAGGTGCTGTGTAGTAACTTCAAAGCTCAAACACAGGAATTAAGAGAAACATAAGAAGGTAAACATAAATGAACAATGATTAAGGATGAACTCCTTACATCCAGATATGGAGAGATGATACATGCATCCCCTATAAACCCAGTCTTTATGTCAGGGGTCATAGAAGGAATCTAATTATATAGAAGGCCTGGGATTGGTTCCATGATGTCTTGATGATTTCTTTTTTTTTTTAGGCAGTTGGGGTTAAATGACTTGTCCAGGGTCACATAACTAGTAAGTGTCAAGTGTTTGGTCTGAGGTCAGATTTGAACTCAGGTCCTCCTGACTTCAGGGCTGGTCCTCTAAACGTTGCACCACCTGGATGCCCCGATGTCTTGATGATCTTAAGAGAAGAATGGAAAGAGAGGGAAAGAAGAGTGTATTGGGGGGAAAGGAAAGAAAAGCTAGAGAAATTATCTCACATAATCAGGCTGTATGAGTAAATATCTGCACAAATAAGGAATAAGAGAGAGGGAGGCAAGGGAGCCAAGATGGCAGAATAGAGGCAGAAACCCAGCTGAACTCTTCTAACTTTCCCTTCCAAACAAATTATAAAAACATGTCAAATTGAATTCTGGAGTGGCAGAGCCAACAAAAGGTCAGGGTAAGATATTTTTCCAGCCCAAGATAACTTTGGAGGTCAACAGAAGAGGCCTATGATACTAGTGTGAGGGCCAGCCCAAGCAAACATGGTGGCAACACCAACAGGTGATTTGGAGGTGGCTGCAGCAGCGGCAGCAGCAGATTAGAGATTATAAGGACCCTGAGCTGATGCTGGGACCAGGACCTGGAAGTGTTTGGCAGCTTTTGCCTATGTGTGGTTCTGGGTCAGTTCCAGGGAGGAGAGGAGCACCCATGAGCACAAAAAGCAATCAAAGTGTCAGGGAAAACCAAGATACAAATTCAGAAGAAGACAATGACATGTAAACAACTACAAGCAAAGCCTCAAAGAAAAAGGTAAATTGTACTCAAGCCCAACAAGGATTCCCGAAAGAGTTTAAGAAAGAGATAAGAGTAGTAGAGGAAAAAATTGGGAAAAGAAATGATGCAAAGAATTATGAAAAGAGAATGAATAGCTTAGTTTAAGAAAAAAAAAGGCACAAGAAAATACTGAAGAAGATAACATCTTAATATACAGAATTAGCCAAATGGCAAAAGAGCCACAAACATTCACTGAAGAAAAGAACTTAAAAAGTAGAATAGGCCAAATGGGAAAAGAGATACAAAAGCTCATTGAGGAAAAGAAGTCCTTAAAAATTAGAATTGAGCAAATGGAAGCTAATGATTCTATGAGATATCAATAAACAATAAAACAGTAAAAAAAAAAAATGAAACAAGAAAATGTGAAATATCTCATCAGAAAAACAACTCAACTGGAAAACAATCAAGGAGATATGATTTAAGAATTATTGGACTACCTGAAAGCCAAAAAAAGAGCCTAGACATCATATATGAGGAAATTATAAAGAAATATAAACACTCCCCCTGTATCTTAGATCCAGAGGGCAAAAGAGAAATCAAGAGTCCACCAATCACCTCCTGAAAGAGGTCCCAAGATTAAAACTCCCACGAATATTATAGCCAAATTCCAGAGCTATCGTGTCAGGGAGGAAATACTGCAAAGCAGCCAGAAAGAAGCAATTAAAATATCATGGTGCCATAGTCAAGATCACAAGATTTAGCAGCTTTCATGTTAAAGGAGCAGAAGGCATGAAATATGATATTCCAGAGGGCAAAGGAGGTAGGATTACAACCAAGAATAACCTATACAACAAAACTGAGTATAATCTTATAGGGGAAAAAGATAGTCATCTGATGAAATAGAGGACTTTCAAGCATTTCTGATGAAAAGACCAGAACTGAATAGAAAATATGACATTCAAACACAAGTCTCAAGAGAATCATAAAAAGGTAAACATAAAAGAGAAATCATAATGGAATCAAAGTTAAACTGTTGACATTCCTATGTACATGTACCTTCTGAGAACTTTATCATTTTTTTCCCTGTTCTTTAAAAATCTTTTTATTAATTTATTTTCATTTATCAATAATCACTTCCATATGCTTTTGAGTTTAAAATTTTTCTCCCCCTTCCTCCCCACCACCCTCACCAAGATGGCACAATCTGATATAGGCTATACGTTTACATTCCTATTAGACATTTTCACATTAGTGATGTAAGTAAAAATTAAAACCAATAGGAGGAACCATCAGAAAGAGGAAACAAAACTCAACAGAAGAGAAAAAAAATAGCAATTCAGCTTCCGTAGTTCTTTCTTTGGATGTGGATAGCATTTTCTATCATGAAGCCTCTGGAGATGTCTTAGATCCTTGTATTGCTGGGAAGGGTTAAGTTTATCAATATTTATAAATATTAGTCATCGCACAACGTGGCTGTTATTTTGTACAACTTTCTCTTGGTTCTGCTCATTTCACTCAGCATCAGATCATACAAGTATTTGCAGGTTTTTCTGAAGTCAGCCTGTTCATCATTTCTTGTAGCACAATAGTATTCCATTACATTCGTATACCACAACTTGCTCAGCCATTCCCCAGTTGATGGGCATCCTCTCAATTTCCAATTCTTTGCCACCACAAAAAGAGCTGCTATGAATATTTTGTACATGTGGGTCCTTTTCCCATTTGTATGATCTCTTTGGGATATAGCCCTAGAAGTGCTATTGCTGGATCAAAGGGTATACACATTTTTATAGCCCTTTGGGCATAGTTCCAAATTGTTCTCCAAAATGGATGGATTATTTCACAGCTCCACCAACAATGCATTAGTGTTTCAATTTTCCCACATCTCCAACATTTGTCATTTTCTTGTTTTGTCGTGTTGGGCAATCTGATAGGTGTGATGTGGTACCTCAGAGTTGTTTTGATTTGTGTTTCTCTAATCAATAATAATTTAGAGCATTTTTTCATATGACTATAGATGGCTTTAATTTCTTCATCTGAGAACTGTCTGTTCATATCCTTTGACCATTTATCAATTGGGGAATGACTGAACTTTCATTCTTAAGGCAGTTAGAAGAAGTCTGCATAGAGGACAGAAGTGTGAGTTATGTTGAGATGATCTCCAAAAAAAAAAAAAATGAAGGGGTGAGAAAAAGGGATACCCTGGAAGAAGGGGAGAGGAAGAATAAGAAAAATTATGTCAGAAGAAGTGTGCAAGGAAGATCTTTTACAGTGGAGGGGAATATAGGAAGGGGGGTGGTTAACAGACAATGCTTAAACCTCATTCTCATTGGATGGGTTCAAAGTGGGAAGATTATATATACAAACTCAGTTAAGTATAGAAATCTATACTACCCAACAGAGAAGTAGGAGGGGAAGGGGATAAAAGAGAGGGAGTGGATTAAGAGAGGCAACGGTCAGAAGAAAAACAGACTTGAGGAGGGACAGGATAAAAAGAGGATAAACAGAAGAAATAACTCTGAGGTACTACTTCACACATATCTGATTGGGTAATGTGACAGAAAAGGAAAATGACAAATGCTGGAGGGGAAGTGGAAAATTAGATACACTATAGCACTGTTGATGGAGATGTGACCTGGTCCAGCCATTCTGGAGAACAATTTGGAATTATTGGAGATTATAAGATTGCACATAACCTTTGACCAGCAATACCACTACTAGGTCTGTATCCCAGAGAGATCAAAGGAAAAGAAACTATATGTACAAAAATACTTATAGCGGCTCTTTTTGTGGGGGCAAAGAATTGGAAATTGAGGGGGTGCTCATCATTTGGAGGATGGCTGAACAAGTTGTACTATTGTGCTATAAGAAATGATGAGTAGGATGCTCTTAGAAAAATCTGGAAAAACTTACATGAACTGATACAGAGTGAAGGGAACAGAAGTAAAGTTTTTTTATAAAAGGAATAGGGAGGGGAGCAGCTGACACTTGACCCTCATTCTCATCTGAACTAGTCAAAGGAGGGAAGAATGAATACAACGTCCACACGAGTTGGGTTCAGAACTATATTTTACTCATTGTGGAAATAGGGAAAAGGGAAAAGGGGAAATTGGAGGGTAGAAAAAGGAGACATTCATCCTAAGCATAATACTCTTGAGGATAATACCAAACTATAGCTGTTTTTGAGGTGGCAAAGAATGGGAATGTGAGGGGAGTGGGTGCCCATTAATTGGGGAATGGCTAAAGAAATTATATATTAATGTGATGGATTACTACTATGGTGCAAGAAGTGATGAAGGGGATGGCATCAAAGGAACCTGGAAACATTTGTATGGACTAAGGCAGAGTAAAGTGAATAGAACCAGGAGAACAATTTATATACATTGAATGACTCGGGAACTCTGATCAACATAGTGTCAGCCACAATTTCAGAGGACGTTTGATGAAATGTACTGCTGCTTCCTGGTAAATGAAAGACTGAGTACAGACTGTCACACACACAACTACGCATATAGAAGTATGTGTGTGTGCTTTTTTTCCTTTCGGATATGGCCAATGCAGAAATTTGTTTTGCCTGAATACATGTGTTTCTAACAGCTTATTTTCTTTTGTCCTTAAGGAGTGGGGCTTGAGGAGGCAGGGAGAAGGAGTTGGAGAGGGAGGGAAGAGAGAAAAGGTCCATTTTTGCTGATTGAAAAAATAAATATTTAGTTTTTAAAAATAGTTGTGTGATCTGGGCAAGTAAGTCACTTCACTGAGCCTCAATTTTCCTGGCTTTAAGAAAATTTTGCCTTTTCTTTTTCATCAGATTACTTTAAGGATTAAATAAATGAAAGGAATATGCTTTATAAAGTCTTAAAAGTATAATGTAAATATGTTACAATTATTGCATCTGATTTTAGTAATTAGAAATTTTCTTAATTCTACCTGATTTTTATTCCAGACAACAAGTGAAAATCATGCACTGTATCCTGTTCCACTTGTGCAACTGTTTGCCTGTGTTAGCTGTGATTTGGCTTGTACTCTGAGTGCTTATTTCAGTTCCATAAACAGCAACCTTCCTGTAAACCTAATCAGTGAATGGCATGAGTTTTTTTCTGAAGGCATACACAGTTTACTTTTACCTCTTTTGGTGAAGATTACAGGCAAGTAAAAAGGGAAATAATGTCCTGTTCTTGAAGTGGTAGTTTGATATTTATGAGGTTTATCCATAAAATTATCTATAGATTCATAACTATAGATTTATCTATAAAAATTCAGACTAAAAGAAATTGAAATGGCATTTTAAATGTTTGAAGTGGTATGAGAAGGGTAAGATGAAGAATGCGGAAAGTGAGGCAGATATTATAGCAGTTATGTTGCTTTTTGTAGCATTCAGCTAATATGATAATTTATAACTTAGGTGTTGAACACACATCTGAGAGAAGATCCCTCCTAAAACAATTGCAAGAGGGAAGAGTACTGAAATAAGTCTTTTATTTCTTCCCCACCCCCACCAAACTTAGTGTTTATTTTTAACATTCTTTTTAAATTTTGAGTTCCAATTTCTCTCCCTTCCTCCCAGCCCTCCCCCGACCCAGTGTGAAATCATGTAATATACATTTACATACTAGACTTACTGCAAAAAAAAAAAGCCAAAAAGAAATTGAGAAAATTTTACTCCATCTTGCACTCAGAGTTTATCAGTTCTCTCTTCCATGGTGGATACCTTTTTTTTCATCATGAGTCCTTAGAAGTTGTCTTGGATCATTGTATTGATCAGAGTAGCCAGGTTTTTCACAGTTGATCATCCTATAACAGTGCTGTTACTGTGCACGATTGATTCTTCTTACTTCACAAGCCTTTTATTTTTAACGTGACAAAAATACTTAACCTCTCCTACTTCACTGTTTTTTTCAAGAGAGTGACATAAACAGTCATTATTCTAATTAGAAAGGTTGGACTTGCCACTTATGCCATGGATTGTTGATCTTGTTAGGAGGTTTTGATTTGAATATAAGCGCTGTGAAAAAAATCTCTCCGTGGCCACAGTCTAGTCAGTTAACTATGCATGGTACACAAAGTTTTTTCCAAATCACTTCCTTTTCTTTTAAGGTCTGCAGTATATGAGTAGGTCATTGTTGAGGAAAAAGAAAAAGAAGTAGAGAACAGTTGGTATTATCCAAAGGTGCACCTGGGCATTTGGTTAGTTAGGAAATTTCAAAATTCCTTTTCTTTTTAAATCAGGGAGGCCTATTTTTTTTAAAACAATTTATTTATTTTTAGTTTTCAACATTGACTTCCATAAGATTTTGAGTTTTAAATTTTCTCCCCTTCCCTTTCCTTCCCCCTCCCCAAGATGGCATGCAGTCTGATATAGGAGAAGGACTTATTTTATACACTCATCTTAAGCATATTTTCACATTAGTCAAGATGTAAAGAAGAATTAGAAGTAATGGGAGGAACCATGAGAAAGAAGAAACAAAACAAAACAAAAGGAGAGCAAATAGTATGCTTCCATTGCATTCAGACTCCATAGTTCTTTCTCTGGATGTGGATGGCATTCTTTCTCTGGATACGGATAGTATTTTCCATTGTGAGTCTTTTGGAGCTGTCTTAGATTCTTGCATTGCTGAGAAGAGCTAAGTCTATCAAAATCAGTCATCACACAGTGTGGCCGTTATGGTGTACAGTGTTCTCCTAGTTCTACTCATTTCATATTAGTCCAGGTTTTTTTGAAGTCTTCCTGCTCATCATTTCTTATAATACAATAGTATTCTATTACATTCATATACCACAACTTGTTCAGCCATTCGTCAATTGATAGGCATCCTCTCAATTTCCACTTCTTTGCCACCGCAAGAAGAGCTGCCATAAATAATTTTGTACATGTGAGTCCTTTTCCTGTTTTTGTGATCTCTTTGGGATACAGATCTAGAAATGGTATTGCTAGGTCAAAGGGTGTGCACAATTTTATAGGCCTTTGGGCATAGTTCCAAATTATTCTCCAGACTGGTTGGATCACTTCACAACTCCACCAACAATGCATTAGTGTTCCAATTTTCCCACATCTTCTCCAACATGTATCATTTTCCTGTTTTGTCATGTTGGCCAGTCTGATAGGTAGGGAGGCCTATTCTTGGAGTGCCTTTTTTTTTTAAATAAAAGAAACATTGGATTATGACTGTTAATGAGAAGGGAAAGATATTAATAGATTGATTATTTAAAATACAGGTTAGAACTTCCAGCTGTATATCCCAGAGACATCCAAGAAAAAAAGCTGAGGAGAAGGACTTATTTGTACAAAAATATTTATAGCAGCTTTTTGTGATAGCTAAGAATTGGAAATCAAAGAGATGCCCATCAATTGGAGAATAGCTAAAAAAGCCATGGTATATTATTGTGATGGAATATTATTGTGCTGTAAGAAATGACAAGCAGGAAGATTTCAGAAAAACCTATAAAGACTTACATGAACTGATGCAAAGTGAAATGATCTGAACCAGGAGAACGTTGTACACAGTAACAGCAATATTGTACGATGAAGAACTGTGAACGACTATTCTCCCCAATATAATGATCCTAGAGAGTCCCAAAGGACTAATGATGAAGCATACTGCCTCCAGAGAGAGTACTGATATTGTTTGAATACAGCCTGAAGTGTGCTATTTTTCACTTTTTTTCATTCTTTTTCTTGTATTTGAGGAATCTATGACTAACGTGGAAATGTTTTACATGATTGCATATGTATAACGTATATCTGATTGCTTACCATCTCAGGTAGAGGGAAGCAGAGGGAGAGAAGGAGGGATAGAATTTGGAACTCAGAACTTTCAAAAAACTGTTTTTAAAAAAAGTGTTTTAACATATAATTGGGGAAAAATAAAAAGTATAAAATGTAAAAAAATAGGGTGTGGAGGTAAGCAGTACAGAGTACACAGTATGTTGGGTCTTTTAAAAGGTGTGAATAAAGGATTAATAAAGTACTTACTAGATGCAAAGCTTTGTGCTATTCAAATTTTTCCTGACAATACCCCAATGGAAAAAAAAAAACCTGACCTTACCTCCACTCAATAATAAAAAAAAGATATGGATTGGGCGGGGTGGGGGGTGGAGAGGGGAGAATATACACACATGTGCAGAGAGAGCAGGGATGGTGGAGTAGGCGGGGGTTAGGTCAGAGTTTTTCTTTTTTTGGCCAAAAACTTGCAAAATTAAGTTGAATAATAATACTCTTCTGAAGTCTTAACTGAGTACAGAACTTCTTTTTTTAAAGAATCAACAGCATAAAAACACTGTTGAAGGCCGTGATATTGCATTTGCTTTGTATTAATAATATTCTGTAGTTGTCTACTGATTTTCTCTTAAGTATTAATTATAGTAACTGTCTCATTGGATCTTTTGGTTTTGTTTTGTTTTTCTTTTATTAGAGGAAAGCAAAGATGCATCTGAAACTTCTTTTCAGAACTCAGTGCTGATACCTTTGGGTGAAACACTCACATACATCTCAAAGGATCAACTGCTCAATCACAAACTCGCCATTAGATTCACACCTGACCAAAAGACAAATCTTCCGGAACATCTCCAGTCCTTGTTAAATACACTTGCCCCATTACTTCACTTCAGAGCTAGACCTGTGCAAATTGCAGTTTATCATATGTTGTATAAGTAAGAATTAAGTTAATGTACTCATTGTGTTGGGTTTTGTTTAGCTTTCAACCTTTGAAAAATGTGTATGTGTGTATGATTAGTTTTTTTCTTTATTTAAAAAGTTGGACAACTCAGATTGTGTTTAGTGAAAATTTAGGAATTTAAATTTATGTGGTATAGAGAAAACTTCATGCAATAAATTTATTTAGGAGGTATATTAAGTGGAAGAAGAGGTACTATATTTCTAATACAGTGCTAATTTCTATAAAGTGGTTCATTTTCAAAATTAGTTCCTATTTTTAGGGAAGTTGCATTGAGAACTGTACTGTCAGTCTATGTGAATTTTAAGTGTTTAAGTTATTTTTAAGGTATTTTAAGTTAACAATAATATTGTTATTATTAAGGTATTTTAATAATAATAGCTAGAATTGATATAGTGCTTTAAGCACTTTACAAGTATCTCATTTTATCCTTACAACAATCCCAGGAGGTAGGTGCTATTATTATCCCCATTTTACAGATGAGGAACTGTGGCAGGCAGTTTTTAAGTGATTTTCCCAGTCACATAACTAGTAAGTGTCTGAGGCCCAATTTGAAATTAAGTTTTCCTGACTTCAGGTCCAGGAGTCTTATCTACTGTACCACTTAGATGCTCCTCTCCTGCTTTTAAAATCATAGAATTACTTATAAAATTAACTATAGAATTATTACAGAATTGGAAGGAGCCTTAGAGTTCATCCAGTCCTTCCCTCTCATTGGACTCATAAAGAGGTATTTGTAATCAAAGGCTTACTTTCAAGCATACATTAATTTCTTCTTAATTGTTGTTGCTCAATATTTTTTTAAAAAGAAACATTTTCTAAGCAAATTATTTGAAAAACCAATTAATGTTAAAGATGAACAAATACAGAATTATATGGCCTTAAAATATATTCACATTGACTATGAGTTAATATTTAGTAGCATAGATGATGTGTTTTTATGGTTTTAAGAAAGACTTGCTTTCTCCTTTGATTTTAAAATACACAGATATGTTTTATTTTAACATAGCAGATACTTCCCAACAAAATCCAAGTGAATCTCTTTGAAAAGTAAATTTCCAAAAAATTGTTGACAGAAAAGGGTATGTGGGTGGGGGAGAGGGCTGTCCTTTAACTTTTAATAGCAGAATTAAAAAACTAAGTTTTGTTGCCTTTCAGGGTTGACCTTACTTATATTTGTTTACTATATTCATTGTGTGAATATTATGTAATGGTTATTCAGCTTTCCTCATTGTGAATCACATCATACACGTTCTAGTTGTTATGGTATCTTAAACTATATTATGTGCATTTACATAGTTTGGAAAATTTGTCCCTATGGATAATTTAAACTTAATGCTGTAATATAAAATAAAAGTTGAGCCTACAGAAAAAAATTTTTTTTAAATAATGCTTCCTCCAACCTTAGGTTGATGCCTGAATTGCCAAGGTTTGATGATGATGATGTTAAATCATATGTTGATGAAGAAGAAGAACCTGCCTTGTGAGATTTTTTAAATTTTAATTTAATTTTTCCTTTTAATCTTATAGCTGCTTTTAAAATTCCCATTCGATAAGTTATTGTTCTTAATATCTTACAAATAGATAATATTGGTATAATTAATAAGGTTTTATGACCTAGAGTTTGGTGTCTGAGGCTGGATTTGAATTCAAGTCTTTCTGACTGAAGGTTCAGGGCGCTAGGCACTTAGCCACCTAGCTGCTTCTTATTTAATTAGATACCCTGGCATTTAATATCAAAAGACTTCAAAGGGAATGAATGAAAAAAGGATTTATTAAATGCTTACTATGTGCCAAGCACTACCCTAAGGGCAGAGGTAGAACTTACTTCCTTAGATTCAATATATAGAAACCCATTCCTTTTGTACTTTATCATATCTGCATGTGAATCAAGAAGAATTGGCCTTAAATAGCAGTTAGATATGATTTGGTAGTTTCTTTATCCAGCTGTCTAATACATACTTGTCTATACCTCCTGTAGAATGTAAATACTCTTTGAGGGCAGGGAGGGGCTATATCATTTTTGAATAGTAATATGTGTTGCACATAGCAGACCCTTAATGTGCATTTGTTACACTGAATTCAGTTTAGTTACCTGAGAAATTTATTTTGGTGTTTCTTTTTTAGGGCTGGTATTTGTTTCTTTAATAATATGTTTACAGTTGGGAAATCAGTCCTCTTCATTCCCTCTCATAATCTTGGTGAATGTTAAATCTGAGAAAGTTTTCAACTGTTTGCTTCATGATAAAAATTAGACAATTTTTTCATAGGTATAACCCTATACAAAAACTCCATTCCTCATCCTGATATCTGGAGTTTCTGGGTCTTCTAAGCCTATGCCAACGGGTTACAAACTTTGGCATTTCTGGGCAAGCTAGAAACGCTTTGTGTACAGGCTTAGTTATGGTTTTTGTGTCTGTCATCTGAGGGCCAGCCAGCCTAAGTTTTGGAAGGCTTATCAAGAAGTTGCTTGCGGAGTTCATTTTTTTTCCTTTTATTGACCAAGACCTAGGCTCCCAACACAAGATTGCAGAGTTCATTTTTTGACTGTAGAAGCTCCAGAAGATGATCTATCAAATTATAGGGAGGTTATGATCTTTGTCAGTGGAAGAATATATACCAATCATATCATGAATCCTTAAGAAAATTAAACGTTATTTTCCTTGTGATAATTTTCACAGTAATGCAGTGCTAGTGGCCATTATAAAAGAAAATGTTTTGCTTGCTCTGTTTTAAGGACTTAAGTATCAAGACTATTATTTTTCTTTCTTTAAAGCCTCTATATGGTTAAAAAGGAAATAACCTTAGTAAAGTAAGAAAAGTTTTGGTTTGGAACTAACTAGTATCCAGACTTGTATAAATTGCCCTTCAGTTTGCATAATTGCCTTGTTGTGTCTTAAGTTTAAAAATATAATTTAAGGAGACTTAGGAGCCAAGATATCTGAAGCATTTAAATAATGGCAAATTATTATTAATTCCTAGATCACCACCTGTAGCTTTGATGGCTGTTCTTGGCATCTTGGAAGATTTACTAGAAAATATTCTGGAGTGTTACCCTGTTGGAGAGTTTGCAGTTATTCAGCCATTGAGTGAGGAGTTCTGCTATGTTTTGGGCTACCTCCTCACATGGAAATTAATACTTACTTTTTTCAAAGCAGCTACATCTCAGGTATGTCCAAAATCATTAGCTCTATCCCCTCTTATTCTTTATATTCCACTAAAAGAAAATAAGAAAAGTGGTTTTTCATCTTATCTGAACAACTTTGGACCTAGTCTATTTAAACTTCCTCTTACTTATTCTTCTACCTCTCTTATCCTTTATTTATCTTTTTTTACCCCATCCTTATTATCTGTGTTGTTCACTTTTTGACTTTGACAGGGCCACTAAACCTAAAGGATCCCTTGCAGGCTGCATATTGATTTAGAAAACCACATAATCCAGGTTCTATTGTATTTTTATTTATTTTCTTAAATATTTCCCAGTTACATTTTAATCTTAATTTGTCACATTCAGGAGTGTTGGGGGATGCAAGACAGCTTGACACCTCTGCCCCACAGCTCTGGCACCACTCACTCTTTATGAGTTGTGGGCTCCCTAGGTTGAAGCTCCTTTCAGTGACCACCCTGCTCTCTTTTCTCCATGTCAGCCCCCTTCTTTCGGTGTGCTGCTTCCACTCATCCCCTAGCTTCCCAATATGCCATCCTGAATTCCCATTCTATGTTTACAAACTGCCCTTCAACATTAGACCTGTATCTTACTCCAGGAAATTACTTTGTATATATTTCATATTCACTTAAATGTGTACGTGTTTGCTTCTAAAAGAATGCCTTCTTGAGGGCAGGGATAGTTGTTTTGTCTTTGTACCCTTGGCACCTTGCATATAGAACTTGATAAACACTTAGTGAATTGAACAGAATAATCTAATAGAGGAGATACAAAGAACTGCAATGAGAAAATAGAACATTGAGTGCATAAGATAGGTAACAAAGTGCTGTGCAAGGTTTGGAGAAGGAAGATTTCCCCAGTTGGCAATGGGGAAATCGTGTGAGACTTATTGGAGATGGTACTTGAATTGGTTCTTGAAAGATGGGTAAGATTTTGGTAGGTAGAAGTAGAGTTAGAGCTAAGAAAAAAAGGGTATTTTAAATATAGGGAAATGGCATGAGCAAAAGCATGAGAAGAAATTGAGAACTGTATCCAAGGGATGATGAATACATCAGTTTGGTTGGAGCAGAGTATACGATAGGGTGGCACTAGATTATGAAGGGCATTGGATGTCAGACTAACTTGAATATTTTTCATTTTGCATTTATTGAAGCGTTTCAGGAAGAGTAGTGATAGATTTGTGCATGTGAGGAATATAAATCTGGCAGTCACATGAAGTCACATGATTGGATTGTGGGGCAAGACTGGACATGGATTAGGAGGCTATTTGAACAGCCTAGACAGGTAGTAATGAGGGATTTGAAAGAAGATGAGGATGTATTTTGGTGTAAAGAACATTCTAAACAAGAACATGACAAATGAAAACTTGGAGGCTATACAAGTTTTGAATATTGGACAAGCAGGTTTACTGTCTGCCTCAGAGAATCTAAGTTGAGGTGATACAAGTATTATAGCATTTATATAATGCTTTTAGCATTTACAAAGAGGCACTTTACATATCTTATTTGATCCACACAACAGCTCTGATAGATATGTGTATTTATTAGTCCCATTTTACAGATAAAGAGACTTAGGCTGAGAGAGGTTAAGTCATTTGCCCAGCACCTCACACTAACAAAGGAAGGATTTGAACTTAGATATTCCTAACTCAAAGTTTAGCATTCTGTTCACTGCCCTGCCTGAGTAAGCTAGGAGGCAATGTATAATTAAAGTGCAGAGTTAAATTATATTTGGCGTAAATGGCATTTGAAAGCTGTGGTGGCATTTTTAAATAGAGGAGTGATGTTATCAAAATACTTTTGAAAAAGAGTCAGGAATGTCATTTCACTTCAGAGTATATCTTAGTTTGGGACTTGAGTGTTGTTCAAGCTTCTGATCTCATTTTCTGAGTTATTTTCTAAGCCCATCGCTCTCATTTTGTAGATGAGAAGACTAAAGTCAGTGGAGGTTAAGTGACTTGCCTCGGGTCACACACAGGTGGTCAGTGTTGGAGGTGGGATTTTGAACCCAAATACTTTGAGTCACTTTTCCCCCCACTGTTATCATACCTTGCTTTATCTGTTTTTGTGTTTCTCACTGTAGTTTAATCTGGAATTACTAACAAATAATTTTTGTCCCCATCAGCTTCGTGCCCTTTATTCATTGTATCTTAGAAGAACAAAGAGTTTGAATAAGCTGCTCTATCACCTGTTCAGACTTATGCCAGAAATACCCACCTATGTAGGGCCAGGTATTGAGCTCCCAAATAAAGAAACTAAAACATTCTTTACAGAAGAACTTCATTTACATGTCAGAGGTCAGTAAAGTATATTGTTTTTATTCTCTGTTCTTTTATGAAACTAGCTTCAGGCTTAAGGTTAAAATATGCTTTCTTCCAGGGAAAGATGTTACATTTTAGGGAAACAGCTTTTTCTTTAGGTTTGTTTTTTTTTTGCTTTTTGGTGAGGCAGTCAGGGTTCAGTGACTTGCCTGGGGTCATGCAGTTAGTAAGTGTCAGGTGTCTGATGCCAGATTTGAACTCAAGTCCTCCTGACTTTAAGGCCAGAGCTCTATCCACTGTACCACCTAGCTGCCCCTTTTCTGTAGTCTTAAAGACAAGAGAAATCATAATTGCTGACAGAAAACTGACATTTAAGATGTTCCAGAATTTCTTATCTATGATAGAAGAAATCATATTTTTTGGTTCTATACAGAACCTAGGATCGGGATGATCATTGATTATGGTTAATTCTGAACTCTTTAGCATGCTAAACTTGCAATATTTTACTAGGTAAGAGCTAGGTGTAGTGTTACATATCTATAATCCCCACTTCCAAGGAGGCTAATGCTCACAAAATCTCTCGAGGTTGGGAGTTCTGAGCTTCAGTTGGGCTAATAAGCCAATCAGATGTTGGCATTAAATCTAGCATCAAAAATGGGAGTAGTATCAGGGTTGAATCAGGTGCCCTAAGGAAGGGAGAACTGGCATAGGTCAAAAAAGGAGCAGGTCTCCTTGGCCTGATCAGTAGTGGGATTGAGCCCATGAGTAGCCACTACATTTCCAGCTCAAGCTAAATAGGGAGACAACCAGTCTTTCAAAAAAAAATTTTTTTTTTACTACATATGCTAAAAATGACCCCCATCCAGCTAGTGAGTGATCTTTGGGGACTAAGATGGCTCACCTAGAACCTTTGGAACTAATGAGCATGCTAAACATCAGAGATCTAAAAAAGAACTTAGAGCACAGTCCCTTAAGAAACTTTAATAGGTAGGGGGGAAAGATGTAACGTGATATTCCAGAGAGACTATTTCACTTCTGTGTTGGAAGTATGTTTTCATTTCACGTGTCATGAGTGTTCTTTTCCTATTCTCACTTAACTGACAGTTTTCACCTTTTTTTTCACTTAAAAAAACTTCACCAGTGTGGTATGTAGTTGAGTCATATTTACTACAATGTAGGGTATATAAGAATAAATTGAGATTAACTCAATACTAATGCCTTTTGTATACCATTTAGCTCCTTTAATTACAACTACTGAAAATTTAGTATTTTTTTTAATGGACCTGTGATTTTATCAGTATGGACCCCCCAGTGTGAAAACCAAGCCAAAATAACAAATGTTCTTCTGAACATTAGTTAAACATGATGAGTCTTATTTAGACATAGGAGGCAACTCTATTAGGAGGTAAAGATATTTGTGAATCTTTGTTGCTAAACACTAACTTTGGCTTTTGCATGGTTCATCCTGAATTTGAGAGAAAAAGGTCAGCTGACAACAATGGAAGCTAGATCTTCTTTGCATTTGGCAGTGTTGTTGCCAATGAATAAAACTTTATTTTTTAATGAAAATGAACATTTTCTAGATATGTGTATCTATAGATAGATAACTAAGACTTTTTCTCCCCCAGAGACAGCAACTCTTTCATCTCAGATTCCCCACTTGGCTTGTTCTGTCTATCAAATCACATTAAAAGATTTGCCAGCTATGGTTAGACTTTGGTGGAATAGCTGCGAGAAGCGTGTTTTCAATGTTGTAGATAAATTTACAAGCAAGTATGTGAGTAATATGCTTTCTTTTCAAGAAATATCTTCTGTGCAAACAAGTACACAGCTTTTTAATGGCATGACGGTTAGTATTATTTTTTAACTTCTAAAAAAGTTTTTAGAATATTTGGCTGTATCTCTAATTGTAGTTTTAAAACTTTATAGTTTTATATAAAAATAGTTTACATATAATTTACATAGTATATAGTTTATATATAAAAATCATTAAGTTGAATGAACGTTTGTGAATGTTACTTTTGCGTGTTTTTAAAATGAATGTGCTCAGGGGCAGCTAGGTGGCGCAGTGGATAGAGCACCGGCCCTGGAGTCAGGAGTACCTGAGTTCAAATGTGGCCTCAGACCAAACACTTGACACTTACTAGCTGTGTGACCCTGGGCAAGTCACTTAACCCCAACTGCCTAAAAAAAAAACCTAAAATGAATGTGCTCATGAGAATATATCATAACTAGAAGATAATGTTGTGATAGTAAAGGAGTCAGTGCCTCATTCATAAAATAAACAGTGTGCAGGGCTTTTTTATACCCTATATTTCTGTGCTTCATACCTGGACATTACCAGCTCCACAGTTCCACCTATTAATAATTTCTTCTTTCCTTAAGGCCTAGGCTTTCCTAATCCCTTCAAGCTGAAAATAACTTCTTTTTCAAATGTCTTGTATCATATTGGCTGGATATCTCCTTTTCCTTTATATAATATATGGACCTCCCATTAGACTTGTAAGATTTATAAAAGCAGGAACTATGTTTTATATTATCCAGCACTTAGTATGGTGTCTTGCATATCTATAATAATTACAAAATTATATGATTAATATATGTAATGAATATATGTAAAAAATGCTTTGAATCTGTCATCAAAGAACTACATTTAAAAATTGCAAGTACATTTAACACTATGATTTATTTATATACTCACATTCATATGTATTGATTTTTCTTAAATGAAGATCTTTGCTTACAGTACTCTTCTGAGAATAACGATTTGAAGATTGCTGTTCTTTTTCTTCCAGGTAAAAGCTCGCTCTACCACAAGAGAAGTCATCGCTACCTACTCAGTTGATGACATATTCATTGAACTTATCATTCAGCTTCCTTTGAATTATCCACTGGGCTCAATAACAGTGGAAAGTGGAAAAAGAGTTGGAGTGGCTGTTCAGCAGTGGCGTAACTGGATGCTGCAGTTAAGCACGTACCTCACTCATCAGGTGAGTTTCAAATGCCATGTCTGTTAGGTTTCCAAACTAAATCAGAGCTACTTTTTGTGGGAGGAAAAGTGGGAAGCCATTTGAAAAGTAAACAGTTTATAAAACTTAGAGTTAAATATTCTCTTATCTAAATCTTAATTTGTGAAGTCTAATTTGAAAAATAACACTAGTGATGTGGTATGCAATACTGACGTACTTTTTTTCTTTTTTGCTAGAATGGAAGTATTATGGAAGGCTTGGCATTATGGAAAAATAATGTGGACAAACGTTTTGAGGGTGTTGAAGACTGCATGATCTGTTTCTCAGTCATTCATGGTTTCAACTATTCTCTTCCCAAGAAAGCTTGCAGAACATGCAAGAAAAAATTCCATTCAGCCTGTTTGGTAAGACTAGAATAAAAAAGTTCAAGAATTGTGAGTGATTTGTAATGGGTGTAAAGGTTGTAATACTTCAGACACAAAAACAAAAATTTTACCAATATTACCTCAGATTTCTTAAATTTAGTTAATGGAGTCATACATGGTTCTAGTAGACTGGTAGCATCGTTGAACTTCATAGCTATTTCCTCAATTTTTTATTTTCCTATTTCAAGTGACTAATCAAAAAAAAATCAACAAGGTAAAGGTACAAAATACTTTGTTGTATTTTGATTTTATGCTTATGAAGAGGTTGACATTTAAAAAAAAGTTTTGTTACCTATTTTCTATTAGTAGGAAGTTTCATATTAGAGACAAAAGTGATAGGTGTACATATTTTTAAGTTCTGATATGTGATGCAGTCTGTGACAGTAATGTAGAGCAGATCTCTTTATCATCACTTGATTTTTGGCCTAGAAGAAAGCAACTGTGGTGTTTTATTGTCTTTAATTTTTTTTAAATATTTATCTCTTGCAGTACAAATGGTTTACGTCTAGCAACAAATCTACTTGTCCACTGTGCCGGGAAACATTTTTCTGAGAAAGAGACTGTTTCATTCAGTTTACTGAAGTTGCTCTGTCACTCCTGTCAAATATTTTAAGTGCTGAAGAAACCATTCTCATATGACCATTATTTCTAAATAGGATCAACTAGAAAATTCCATTTGTTTTTATGATGATCCTAAAATCAGGTTTACTTGCCTCTATATTGTTTTGTAAAGCATTTGGAAGCTTTTCTTTGGCATAAAATATTGGCAAATTTACAATGTAAAAAACTCAGTTTATTTTAATTTGCATATTAAAAATAAATTTGAAAATAACAAATTACAGAATTTTTGTGTACATGAGAATATCATTTAATTGTAGCATGCTGACAAACTTGCTATTCAGATTCCAAATAATATGTGGGACATATCAAATGAGGCATTTGATAAGGGTTACAGATTATTATAAAACTAAAAATAGTTCTAATTATAGTTATATAACTTTGGGGCAGCTAGGTGGGGCATTGGATAGAATGCCAGTCCTGGAGTCAGGAAGATTACTTTTCCTGAGTTCAAATCTTGCCTCAGACACAAATTAAGTGTGTGACCCTGGGTAAGTCACTTAACTCTGCCTCAGTTTCCTCATCTGTAAAATGAACTGGAGAAGGAAATGACAAAACACTCTAGTATCTTTGCCAAGAAAGCCCCAAATGGGATTATAAAGAGTCAGACATGACTGAAACAAATGAACAACAAAAAATATAATTTTAAGTTAAAATTTAAATTTAAAAGTAAGCAGCTATTTAAAACTTCTTTACTTTTCTGTTCTAAATCCTTTTGCTGGTAGAGGGGAAGAATTTCACAGATTTGTCAGTGGAAATAAACAGTATGCTTTCAGAGGCTTTGAGAGAGACTGAGAATGGGACATCTCTCAGCTAACAATGAATTCAGCCTTTCAATCTCTCATGTCCTTATTTAATTTAAAAAATTTAATTGAAGCTTAGACCCCAGGTTCACAGAGATGAGGTGCTGCAGAGCTGTAGGGCTCTAGTCTCATTGGGGCATCACATTTCCAAAGCATATGTGATCTGTCAGCTAGGACAAGACAAAGGGTCCTGGATGGCAGAGAGAAGTGTTACAAGAGGGATATGACCAAAGCTATCATATGGAACAGGCACTAGTCTTATCATTCTTGGTCACAAAGGCAGAAGTAGGAACACTGGATAGATATTATGTAGGAAGAGATGTTGGAGCTGACAATGTCACCTTCCTCTGCCTCCCTCCCCAAATCTTTTATGACTCTGTTTTCTCTAAGAAATAATACAAAACTGTTTTTTAAATTTTAAAACATTATTTGTAATTTTGAGTTCCAAATTCTTTCCCTCCCACCACTCTCCTCACCCAATCAGAGGGCAAGAAATATGATATCAAACATACATGTAAAATCATTGGTCATGTTGCAAAAAAAGCAATGAAAATAAAGTGAGAAAATTATACTTCAAAAAAGTTTAATTGAATTTAAAGCTTTTTGAAATCCAAGATAACGGTGGAAAATTAACAGGTGATATAATGTAATCTCCATTTTTATTGTCAAGTGTTCTCTTACCTACCAAAAACTGGGATCAAGGTAGAAAAAGTAAAATTTAAAAGACTAACAATTTTGTCAACTTGTAGCAGCATAAGTTAGTTAAAACTTAAAAAAATCAAAGTTCATAAGATGTCTTCATGCATTTATGAAATACTAGTATGTATTATGACTTAAGGTTTTAAGTTTTTTAAAGAATCAAAATGTCATACACTGGTAATAAACATATATAAGATACAGTACTTTTACAACCACAACTTTATGGTGGTCTGAAAATGAATGTCATATTTGAGGGAAGAATTCTTCCAGAATCTTTACTGATCTTGTGTTTGACCTCAGGGGTCAAAGGAATTTTTGGAAATAACTTTTTTTACTGTTCACAGTTCATTTATGGGAGGGATGGAATACCTACTTTTCATGGCTTAAGGACCTAGAGGGCCACATGGGGCCTTGAGCCAATAGGTTCCTCACCCCTGGTCTGGACCCTATCCCTATCCTATCACTCAAATCCCTTAAAAGAATTACGTAGGAAAACCCGCAATAAAATTCTAAAAGGATGTGATTTCTTTGAGGAGAGCAAAAATATTTTTTGCAGAGAGGCCAAAGTTGATGAGTTCTATGAAAAACTAAAACATCTAGAATTAACACCAAAAAATCATGTCACATTCCTCATAGCGGACTGGAATGCTAAAGTAGGAAATCAAAAGATAATTGGTGTAACAGGGAAGTTTGGCCTTGGAGTACAAAATGAAGCAGTGTAGACTAATAGAGCTGTCAAAATAACTCACTGGTCACAGCAAAAACTCTTTCTCAGTAACTCAGAAGGTGACTCTACACAGGGACATCACCAGATGGTCCATATCAAAATCAGACTGATAAATAGGGAAGCTCTATCCAATCAGTTAAAACAAGCTAGAACTAACTGTGACTCAGGTCATGAGCTTCTTACTGCAAAATTCAGATGTAAATTGAAGAAAGTAGGGAAAACCATCAGACCATAGAGGTATGACCTAACAAACATCCCTTATGAATATGAAGTACAAGTGATGAATAAATTTAAGGGATTAGATTTGGTAGATAGAGTGCATGAAGAACTATGGATAGAGGTTTGCAATACTATACAGGAAGGAGCAATAAAAAACATTCCAAAGAAAAAGAGCAAGGAAGCAAAATGGCTGTCTGATGAGGCTTTTACAAGTAGCTGAGGGAAGAAGGAAAGTAAAAGGTATAAAGGAGAAAGAGAAAGATATACCTAACTGAATGCAGAATTCCAGAGAATAACAACGAGAGAAGGTTTTTTAAAATAAGCAATGCAAAGAAATAGAAGAAAACACTAGAATGATAGATTTCTTCAAGAAAATTAGAGAAGGGAAGGTTTCCTTCAAAAATGGGCATGATAACAGATGAAAATGGCAAGAATACTCAGAAGAACCATACAAGAAAGATCTTAATATCACCAATAACTACAAGGGTGTGGCAGCTGATCTACAGCCAGGACATCTTAGGGAATAACATCAAGTGGGCCTTAAGAAGCATTGCTAACAAGGCGGCTAGTGGAGGGGAGGGAATTCTAGCTGAGCTATTTAAAATCCTAAATATGACATTAAAGTGCTGCACTCAAAATTTAGAAAACTCAACAATGGCCACTGGGTTGGAAAAAAATCATCTTATACCCGAATTCTAAGAAGGACAAGATCAAAGAATGTTCAGGCTATTAAACAATGGTGCTCATTTCACACACCAGCAAGGTTATACTTAAGATTCTTCAAGCTAGGCTTCAGCAGTATGTCAATTGAGAATTACCAGAAGTGCAGTCTGATTTCCAAAGAGGCAGAGGAACCAGAGGCAAATTATCAATATTTGCTGTATACTGGACAAAGCAAGGGAGTTCCAGAAAACCATCTACTTCAGCTTCACTGACTACAGTAAAGCCTCTGTGTGGATCACAACAACATGTGGCAAGTCCTCAAAGAAGGAGTAGCAGATCATTTTACTTGTCTCCTGAGGAACCTGTATGAAGGCCAAGAAGCAACAGTTAGAACTGAATATGGAACTGATTGGCTTAAGAATGGAAAATGAGTGTGACAAGGCTATATGTTGTCACTTTATTTATTTAAATTATATGCAGAGGATAACATGAAACGCCTGGCTGAATGAATCAAAAGCCAGGAGTAAAGTTTCTGGGAGAAATATCAACAATTTCAGATATGCAGATGATTTCACTCTGATGGCAGAAAGTGAAGAGGAATTAAGAAGCCTCTTGATAAGAGTGAAAAAAGAAAATGTAAAAACTGGCTTGAAGCTTGAAAACATCAAAACAAACACACAAAAAAACCACGAAGATCTTGGCAACTGGTCTCATCACTTCCTGGCAAAAAGAGGGAGAAGAAATAGAAGCAGTGTCAGATTTTATATTCTTGGGTTCAAAGATCATTGCAGATGGTGACTGCAACTATAAAATTAAAAGACATTTGCTCTTGGGAAGGAAAACTATGGCAAATCTGGACAGTATACTAATAAGCAGAAACATCACCTTGCTGACAAAGGTCCATATAATCAAAGCTATGGGTTTTCCACTAGCAATGCATGGCTGTGAGAGTTGACCATAAGGAACACTGAGCAACACAGAATCAATGCTTTTGAATTGTATTGCTAGAGAAGACTTTTGAGAATCCCTTGGACAGCAAGGAGATCAAATCAGTCAACACTTAAAAAAATTAATTCATACTATTCACTGCAAAGTGAAATACTGAAGCTGAAGCTTAAATACTTTGAAACATAATGAGAAGACAGGACTCACTAAAGAGATGCTGACGTTGGGAAAGATTGAAGGCAAAAGGTAAAGGGAACAACAGAGGATGAGATGGATAAATATTGTAATGGAAGCCAAAAAAAAAAAAGCTGAGACAGACTTCAGGAGATAATGGATAGAAGGGTCTGGCGTGCTATGGTCCAAGGGGTCAAAATGAGCTGCACATGACTGGACAACAAACAATAAACATTTACATAAATCAAACCCTTCTCTCATTACTTGGTGACAGTGACATTTGCTATGATATAAATTTTTATTAATGCTTATGACATTGTTCAATAAACCACTTGACTTAGCATAAAGCCCAGACAGCCTTTTCTTGAAAAGCCATAGATTTTATTTTGAAAAGCACTGATTTAACTTAAATAGTTTGCCTACATTGTTCTCAACACTTAAAAACCACACTTCAAATCTTTACCTGACTCTTGGAATAGCTTTGGCTTTAAAAGTATACTAGTGACTGAACATTTCACATTACATATATTTGTTGAACTTTAGGACTGAAAGAATTTCTTGTCCTGCTTGTCTGGAAAGTACAATTTTGCCCTGTAAACCGTATTTCTTCATTGTTTCCATAATTTCATCTGAAACAAAAATGAAATATAAAATCACATTAACTGTTTTGATAAAGTTTAGCTAATTGTGGTATCTGTTGAAAAATATAGCAAGATTATAATCACAGGATATTTTAAAACATTTTTATCTGGCAAAATGACCTTAGATTTTACAAACTTTAAAAGTTTTTGTAAGTTTTATTATATAGCTTACTTTTATGGTGGTAGTTTGCTTAAGAGATAAAAAAGGAATAATTTAAAGTAGTAATTATCACAAATAGTTTTTTAAATCCTATTTTCTTGACTATTGACTGCACTGCATGTAGGATACTTATACAAAAATACAAATATAGTGCCAGTTTTATACCTATAGATTCATTTGTATTTGTCTTTGTTTCATGAGTTGCCTTAGCCAAAGATCCAACATTTATGTGGCCATCTAACTGTTGATTAATCTCTCCATATCAGCTGTCTTGTTCCTCAAGAAACAGATTTGCTTTTTCCCTAGGGTCATACTATATATAGCCTTCCCAACATAGTATATGTAAACTGGCAGAGCTTCTGCTCTGCTGGCATAGCTTTCAAGAAAAACCCAGGGTCACCTCCATGAAGTAAAGAAGCATATAAGTAGTACTTTACTGCAGAATTATGGCATGGCAAATATATATACACACACACATATGTATATTTTGCAAAATATATTTACTTACATATTTTATAAATATTTCTAAAATGTACATATTTATATGTAATATATATATCTAAAATGTTGAGTGGACCCCTTGTGGCGAACTCATGGGAAGATATGGACAAGAGTTTACACAGGATGGGTTATAATCTTGATCACTGGAGGGAACTTTGAAATTGATGAGATCACAGATTCATTCAAATATTACATTGAAAATATGGCAGTGAAGAAATGTTTAGTGTTAGTAAGTAGGGCTTCTTATTAGTTTTCAACCTGTGTGTTAAGAAAACAGTATCTGTTTCTGATAATGAAAATCTCAATTTTACTGGAATAGAATGTGTAATTTGTTTTTTGGGGAAAAAAAGATCCCTTAGAATGTAATAGAAAAAGCAAATTAATTTCAAACCTAAGGAGCACTGTTGAATTTGAGATATGAAAAAATGAAAATGCACCTTTGTGAGGGAGGAATGGCAGGATCTCCCTTTATTTCACTGGTATGGGAAACTACTGGTGTGGAAACTCTCCACTAAAACAGATCAGCAACCAGTTTGTAACATCATCTTATAAAACTGCCTGGGGGTACTTTAAGTGACTGTCATAGTCACAGGGCAAATCTGCAGCAGGATGTGGACCTTCTATCTCTTTTATCTTCCTGCGTCTTATATACTCATTGTTTTTTAACTTTAATTTTGAAATTTTATTTTTACATTTAAAAAAATTTTGAGTTCTGAATTCTCTTCTTCCCTCCAGACCCTTCCCCACCTATTAAGAAGGTGAGCAATGTGATACCCATTTTACATGTGAAGTCATGCAAAACATTTCTATATTAGCCATGTTGCCCCCCCCCAAATAAAAAGGCAAGAAAAATAATGGAAGTGAAAAACAATATGCTTTAATCTTAGAGTTCATCAGTTTGCTCGCTGGTCTTCTGACACCATCTTGGAGCACTGTATTGATCAAAGTAGCCACGTCTTTCACAGCTGATTATTGTCTCAGTCTTTCTGTACAATGTTCTCCTGGTTCTGCTCATTTCATTCTATATCAGTTCATATAGGTCTTTGCAGGTTTTTCTGAAACCATTCTGCTCATTTCTTACGGCATAATAGTATTCCATCACAATCATATATCACTTGTTCAGACATTCCCAACTGATGGGCATCCACCAATTTTTTGCCACCACAAAAAGAGATGACATGTTTATACTTTGTATATATAAATCTTTTTTTTTATTTGATCTCTTTGGGATACAGACCTAGTAGTGGAATTGCTTGGGTCAAAGGATATGTAGGTTTATAGCATAGTTCCAAATTGTTTTCCAGAATGACTGGACCAGTTTACAACTCTACCAACAGTACATTAGTGTACCTATTTTCCCACATCCCCTTAAAGGTTTGTCATTTTCATTTTCTGTCATGTTCACCAATCTGATAGGTATGAGGTGGTCCTTCAGAGTTGTTTTAATTTGCATTTCTTCAATTAGCAATTTAGAGCATTTTTTCACATGATTTATTCTGCTTGTCCATATTCTTTGACCATTTATCAATTGGGAAACAACTCTTATTTTTATAAATTTAGCTTAGTTCCCAAAATATTTGAGAAATGAGGCCTTCATCAGAGAAACTTGCTGTAGAAATTTCCCCTCAGTTTCCTGATTTCTTTCTAATATTAGCTACAGTGATTTTGCTTGTGCAAAAACTTTAATTTTACATAATCAAAAATTACCCATTTTATCTCCCATGATTCTTGCTATCTGTTTTAGTCATAAACTCTAATCTTATTCATACATCTGAGAGGTGAATTTCTTCCATGCTCTCCTAATTTGCTTACAATACCACATTTCATGTCTAAATTATGTACCCATTTTGACCTTATCTTGCTATACAGTGTGAGATGCTTGTCTATGCCTAGCTTCTGCCAGACTACTTTCTAGTTTTCCCAGCTCTTTTCTGCCTCAAAAGCTTAGATCTTGGGGTTTATAAAACACTTAGATCACTGTGGCCATTTACTACTGTATACTGAATATTCAATCAGTTCCACTGATCCACCTCTGCATTTATTAGTATCAGAGAGTTTTGATGATTATTGCTTTATAATATAATTTGAAATTTGGTACTGCTAGTCTGACTTTCTTCACATTTTCTTTCATTGATTCCCTTGATATTCTTGACCTATGGTCATTGTTAATAGCATGATTAGGGAGCTCAAATTTAAGATAGAAAAAAACAACAACATAGATATCTACAGTAACTGATCAGCTGAATAAAAAAGGATTTAATAAAAGCATAGTCAAGATGACTAGAAATGGGAAGTTCATCATAATGAGTATACGGTGCTTGGAAAAAGTTATAGACATTTTTATATCTAAGCAGCAGTATGCCAGTTGAGAAACTCAGGCAAAATGAATTTGTTTTAAAATGGTTAAAATAAAACTACTTAATATCCAATTAAGCAGCATGTATTAAAAACCTACTATATCCTGTCCTTCTCCAGTGTTAATATCCCATTATCTTATGGTTTGAAAACTGCATTACATAATTTCAGATAAGTAAATCATTGAAAGATAAACTAAATTGTATTACCTGGATTATTTTCTTTAATGGTAACTAAATAGAAAAATCCTTCTGGTGATAGTAGATCTGCAACCAAAGGGAAGAATCTGTCCATGACTTCTCGGCCATTTCTGCCACCAGCCCAAGCTGCCTCTATTCCATGACTTCCTACCTGTGTTACCAGTTGGAAAGAATCTTTTAATTTTTTTTAGTTAAAACTATGTCTGGAATTTCAAACTACTGAAATTCCTGAATTTCAAATTACTGAAATCAACCTTAGATTTCCATGTTAATACTTTGTTGGGAAACATAAATTAAGCTCTATACACATCTGTCCTGCTTTTAAGAAACCTGATACAGTATTTGGAAAAGTTCAAACTTTAAGTGCTAGAGATCACATTTTTTTTTGTTTTATAGAAACAAAGGAGTTTTAAGGTCTTTATTTTTTGGCATAATGACATATTTAAAACATTTAAGAGATCCTATTTAAAAACTGACATATAACTTTTAAAGAATACATGCAAAGATACACTTTTACAAACCCCACCCATTTGCTTCAGGTCCAAAGATGACCCAATTGTCAGATTCTGAAAGTGAGTTTGAACAGATACATTATGAATGACCCTACCATGGTAATTTCATGTCCAAAGTGGCAAGATTTTATCTTAGAACTGTGATAGCAGCTATGTTCCTTCAGCAGTGGAGGGGTCAGGATTCATTTGGTTTACCAGGTTGTGAAGAAAAATTGGGGTACTACTTTGGTGGATCTGTGATTTTAATGTGGGCACTCACTCCCTCCAACACAGTTTGTAACCCGTCTGTATTTTCTCACGTGGTGTGACTTTTGCCCATTTTGTCCTATAAATGCTCCATACAGGATTTGAGAGATCAGGAAGTCTCAGAGAAAAACCTACCTTAATTCTCACCTTCACTTTGCCATGACTACTGATATCTCTTTGGATTAAAGAGAGATAAAAATGGGCCTTCTAAATCACAATCCAGTTACTTATTTTGTGGACAGGCATCCTGCCTCACCTTCCAGGTATTCTGTTCCCTGTTGGAGGTGGGGCCTTTTGTGAGATCAAGGGGAGAAATGAGAAAGGGTTCATTGCTGTGAACTTGATGTTGATTATCTTCATAAGTAATGTGACCTTTATTATGTAGAGTAGTGAGTAACCCTACAGTGATGAATATCTCTGTAACCCTTAGAGTATGACTCTTTGGGCTTTTGTTTCCTTAACTATAAAGCAAAGAGGATAATGTCTGACATTTCTTCCAGTTCTAAAATTCTAAGAATACTTTAATGTCAGTGTTTGTCATTTATAAAGCCTATGCCTATAGTTCCTCTAGTACTGAGCAGGATTATTATGACAGTAACACAGGCAAAGATAAAACCTAACTCATTAAGTCTAATCTTAACTCAACTTTAATATTAGTAAGTAAATAATGTAATCCTTGGTGACTGGTAGTAGTTTAATGATCCCCTCTCAGTTTGGCTTGATCTTCTTTGAGAAAGACAGTTTACACACCTACTGCAGTTCAATTAAATATTATGTGCAAAGAAAGCATCATGCTACATAAACTGGCTATACAAAAACAAAAATAATTTTAAGAAACTTCAACCTATAATATAAACACAAGAATGAAAGGAATAGAGAGCTCAAAAAGGTGGTGGAATCAGGAGAGGTATCACGAAGGGTGTAGTACCTGAGCTAAGCTTTCGGGAAGAAAAGGATTCTAAAAGGTAGAAATAAGTAAGGAGTGCATTCTCAAGCATGTATAAATGCATTGAGGTGGGAAATAGGATGTTAAATTGGAGAAACAAAGTGACTAAGCTTAGCTGGATTACAGGTACTTGAAGAGGAAATTAGGAAATACTGCTAGACAGAGGAAGATGGGCCGATTTATTAGAGTCTTAAATTTCAGTTTGATGGTGTCACTGAGAGTTTTTGAGCAAAGTAGTGAGACGTGGCCAAGCCTTAACTTTAGAAAAAAATGTTTTGGGAGTTGTGTGAAAGCTTTATTTGAGAAGGAACAAATTGGTGAAATTAGGTTATTCTGTAGTCAGGATTTGAGAGGCAGCTAGGTGATGCAGTGGATAGAGTACCAGGCCTGGAGTTGGGAAGACTTGAGTTCAAATTTGGCCTCAGACTCTACCAGTGTGACCCTGGGCAAGTAAATTAACCCTATTTGCCTCAGTTTCCTCATAAAATAAGCTGGAGGGAGAAATGGCAAACCACTAGAGTAACTTTGCCAAGAAAACCCCAAATGGCATTACAAAGAGTCAGACATGACAAACAGGTAAATAAGAACAAGTCAGAATAAGACCTAGGCCATGCTTCACATACTATCACAGCCATCTTGTTCTGTGCCTTGTTGATATATATACATAGCTCATCTTCCATCCACTTTCTCTCATCCTGGGAAAAATAATCAAATCAATACTGTTCGTTGATTCTGGCATGAAATAGGGTAGTGGTTATCTGAGAAGGAGATGGATATAAAAGATGGTGTCAAAAAAATCAACAAGTTTAGTAACTAATTGGATTTTGGACAACTCTGAGGTTATGATCCTAAGCAGTATTATGGTACCTTCAAGTAGTAAAGAGGCTTGGATTTGGGGAAAGACAATATTAGCTTTCGACAGGTAGAATTTGAGATGCCAAAAAGACTTTCAAGTGGAACTGTTCAGCAGTCAGAATATGTTAAGGAGTTATCTTCAACGATGATAATCAAATCAGTGGAAGCAAATCAGATGACCAAGAGAAATTGTAGGAAGGAAAAGGGGGCCTAGGAAAGAGCCTATGTTCAGGAAGTAGGAGATACATAAGTTGGTAAAGGAGACTGCAGTGTCATGGAATCCAAGAGTAAAGGAAGTAACTAGGAGGGCTGGGGCACCACATTAAAAGACGTAGGAAGGGCAAAGAGGTTAAGACTGAGAGGAAGTTTTTGTTAAATCTTTGCTTAATTTCAAATTTTTAGCCATCTAGAGTTATAGATAATATTTTTATTGTTTTTATATATCATTTTCCCTTAACACCTCTCCCTCTCACAATAAAGTTTTCTCCAAAAAAGAAAAACATTTAACAAACTAACAGACACTATGAACGACTTGACATAGTATAAACCATATTCTTCTTTTTACCATCTCAGCACTCTGGGATCAAGATTAGTCACAGTGATTAGTCAGTTCAAATACTTTTAAAATGTTTTCCATTATTTCAATTGTGGGTTCTACATTCTTTACTTTGTACTTAGTCATACAATTCTTTCCGTGTTTTTCTGATCACATCCACTAAGCTTTGAAACTCTGCCTTGGGTTTGAGCTGTCCTGAATAGTAAGTAGAAAAAACTCCCTTAACTCTCTTCTATCTTGTAGCCCCCATATCATACTTCAAATCCCATACATCCTAGCAATTTGCTAAATGTCCTCCTGCCATATGCATATCCCCTCTCCCATCTAGATTTCACCTTTTGTAATTAAGAACAGTAATCAGACTACAGGCATTTGGCACAGTGCATGGCACACACTAGGCACTTGCTTTTATTCAATTATTCTCTGGTTCTGTTCACCATCTCTGAGACTCTCCATGTCATAACTATCTTCCTGGCCACCATTCCCCTATGTATGTTGTCTTCCCCTATCAGAATACAATATAAGCTTCCAAAGCATAGAAACTATTCCCATTTGAATCTATATTCCCCACATCTAGCAGTGGCTGATACATAGCATCCCCCAACATTTTTAGTTCTATGTGATGACTCAAAGAATATAATCTGTCCCCTGGCTTAATCTTGACTGTGGAATCTTGTCACTATTTCTGAAAACCATGAGATGTATGTATGAAGACCTTGCATGGGTAGGGAGAATTCATTTAGCAGGAATAACTTAGCTATCTGAATCTTCCTCCAAGCTGCAATACTTTTGTGAATGGGTATAAAATGTCTCTGATAGACTTAAAACCAAAGAGTAGTGAGAACTTCATCATGGATAGCTTCAATTTTATCATAAAATAGGAGACAAGTTCATCTGCTGAATAAAGCAAACTAGGAGTAGAATCAGGGTCTTGAGAAGACAGAATAAAGTTTGTAGTGGATCAGCCATTATAAAGTGTGTGGTAGTAAATCATAGATGAATGAACAGATTGCTGTGTAGCAGTGAAGGCCCAGAGCAGACAAAAATGACATGAATTGTTCAACTTATTCCAGAAGAAGGTGGGAATTTGCTAGCATAGCAATAGAGTACTTAATTGACTAAAGTAGGTGTTGACTGGGGCAATGGCAGCTAGAAGGTCACATGATGAAGGGGGGTCACTAATCACTAATCCTTATGAGGGGGGCTGGTGCTATGACCAGGAGGAAAGGGTGGGCCATGTAGTAAAGGAGTCCTAAAGTCTCATGGAACATATGGCAGTGGTAGCCTCTTTACTCTTCCATCTCTTAGCACCACGGTTTTAACCAGGACCAAACGGGGCAGCATTGGGAGCTGCATTTCTTTACTCTGCAGCAGCAGTAGCAGTTTTTACCCATCCCACCATGTAATGATGGAGGGAGGCATAGGTGCCATTTCACTGATGCTACCCCATATTGAAGAGAGGTGAATGATGACATAACAAAATTCATTCAATACCAGCCAACGTGTAACCTAAAGATAATGGTCATTTAAAATTTTTATACATCTCTTACCTCTTCAGAAGGTGTAACTACATAGGGTGGGTTAAATACCAGAAGATCGACTTTCTTGAATAACCTCGGTAACAATCCTTTGGCCTGCATATAAATCAAAATAGTCAATTGGACTTTGTGGTTAAATGTCAGTGCCTTCAATAATGTCACTTGTATTCTTACAGAAGAAATGTGTTTCATGTACTGTGAAGCATGGCAGGCTCAGGTGCTGAAATATCTTAAAATCTCACACATTTTCATCTGAAGTCTCACATAAATTTATATAGGTTTTTTTTTTGAGCATGGAAACTGTTTCATCAAAATAAGCCCAAAATGTCTGGGTGTATTACTGCTGTTCAACAATCCAGATTGTACACTCTGGTATATTTTTATAGAATAAAATAACAAGGTAGGCAAAATCCATAGATTATAGCAAGTCGGAGACAGAAACAGTTGCATTTCATAAATACTTAAAACCTAGCACAATTTTCTGATTGAGAACTAGGAAAAAGATGCCTTTTTTGAGTCAATAAATTCAGTTCAACTTAGATGTAGCATACATACACACACACACACAAAGAATTTATTGAGAAAGAGAACTTATGCTTCTAGAACTTCTGTGCCACTTGTGTTTTTATTAATTCAGATTATTTTTCTAAATCAAAAATGCTCCCTTAACAATGGTTACCCTAGGGCAGCTAGGTGGCACAGTGGATAGAGCACTGGTCCTGGAGTCAAGAGGACCTCAGTTCAAATATGGCCTCAAACACATAACATTTAACAGCTGGGTGACCCTGGGCAAGTCTCTTAACCCCAATTGCCTCACTAAAAAAAAAAATGCCTGAGAGAACATCAGTAACTACTAATAAATCTGCCTACTTTTCCTGTAAATGACAATTTGAGCAGCAAAATTCACTGCTGCCCTATTCGTAATGACAAAAAATGAGAAACATCCTTCAATAATTGGGAAATGGTTGAATAAATTACATTATAATAAATTATAAATATATAGGGTCATCTAAGTGGCAGTGGATAGAGCTCCAGCCTTGGAGACAGGAGGATCTGAGTTCAAATACGGCCTCAGACACTTGACACTTACATTTACTAGCTGTGTGACTTAACCCTGATTGGCTCACCAAAAAGCAAAAAAATAAACAAACAAAACAAAAAAAAAACAGAACAAAAAAACCAACAATGGTTACCCTACAGCATTTCATGTAACTGTTACATTCAGTGTCAAATTCTGACTGAGAAATTATGAAATAGTATACATCAAAGATTTTGACTGTCAAAATTTTAAAGCTTTCTAAATTCTAATTCCATTTTTAAACTTAACACTATTAAGTAGTCATTAAGTGATGAAAAAAGAAAAAAGACATGCTTATTTAGAAAGACTGTTAAATTTCTTTCCCTGGAGGGCCTTAAGAAGAGATTCATCTTCATATAGCACAGATATCATTTTGCCCTTTTTAAAAAAATTAATGGTTAACCTTTTTCTGGAATACTCAGAGTTAAGTATTCTCTGAACACTAGTTAAGAAGGCAAAGACATTACACTTTAGGAAGACTTCTACTCAAAACTGTTAAAAAAAAGTGTTTAACTTAGTACTTGCAGGATGAAGCTATCCTATCAACTATCCATAAAATCCAGCTACTCAGGACAACCATTCTCTTAAAAGCTACTTTATATGTTATCTTATTTAGTCCTTACAATAACTCCATGAAGTAAAAATGTTGCTTGGGCACTGATGAGTTAAATAACTCCCATATTTAAGTGTTAGAAGAAAAAGTTGAACCCAGGTCTTTCTGATTCTATCCACTGTGACTGGCTCTTTATGTCTCTCTATGTCAACCTATACTTTTTTAAAAGTTTGGGAGAATTCTTAATTTTATACCAGCAGGGGAAAAGGATTACTATCTCACCAAATCTGTAATTATTGGCTGAATGTGAACTTTGTTACACAGTGCTGTCTCCAGCGTACAGTCAGCTGCTTTTGGGTTGATATCAGTACACCTATAAAAAAGATAAAAAACAACAAAATAACCCTTTGAGAAACAAAACTTTACAAATTAATGGGGCAAATCTATGGCAGAAATCAAGAAATGTTTAATTTTTTTATAAGAAAAGAAAGTATAAGAAAAAGTATAATGCTATAATAATGGGCAAGAAAACAGATGCACATTTGTGGCTTTTTTATCCTGACAACTGGTCACAATAAAACTGTTTAGAATTGCAGAATGATAAGAATTGGAAGGAACTTTATATATCATTTCTTTTAAATAAAATTTTTTTAAAAATATAGATGAGTAAGTTAGACCCAAATTAGTGTTGCATGTATAGTTTTAATTGTCAGAGAAGGCATACTACTTGATCTTGTGTCCTTTATGTGTTTAACTATTACATTTACAAATCAAACATGTATACTTTGTAAATGTTAACACAAAATGTTGTATTCAAATAACTATACTTCAATTTATTACTCTTACTATACTATTTGATATAATTGATACAATTATACTTACATATATAAAGCCTGAGGGCCAATAATTGAAGCCAGGAATGCAGATACGATGCCAGATCCTGATCCTATTTCAAGGCATATCTCTATTCTGAATTGAAAATGTTGTATTTAGTAAAAATAAAATCAAAATGGACTCTACTAAATGTTTTGCATAAATCTTTCCTGTTCTATTCCCCCCAGTAAAAAGTTAATATTATAACTATATGCAAAAAATACTTATGTTTTCATGCTTAATATTGTAAAGCTCAAAATTGCAGAATTACTCTGTATATGCAAATAAATACTGTCTTATTGAATTAGGAAAAACAATGTATATGGTAATGTCTCTAGACGGCTTTAAGGCAATTTCAGTAAAATATTACACAAGAACTATGTACTTATTCCCTGAAAAATAAGAATATTTACTAAGGGTTAATTTCCCTAGTTTTTTAAAATTACTTTGGAAGTTTAATTCTGTAACATGCTGTATTAAAAAGACCCTTGGTACTAATTTAGAGTGGTAAAGGAATTCCCTACATAGCATGCAGTAAGGAGACTGAGAAGACTTTGGTGAAAACAGTGAAATACTTGCATATCTGATGCTAGTGCTTTTATGGTACTATCCAAATTAAGAGCCTGATATCAATTCCAAGAGAAACAGTGTGGTATGGTGGATAGAGGAGGATAGTTGTGGGCTTGAAACGGTATCTTTCATACATTGTTGTAGTACAGTGAACCACTTAACCTCTCAGTGCCTCCAAGCAACTCTCTAAGCCAGTTCATATATTTTAGTTGTTCTATTTCTTAAACAATTTTTTTATTGCTGTTTTCTGTTTCTTAACATCACCAGAGTATCCTATGTATTTCCCCAACCCCCTACTGCCCAGGAACCATTCCATAAGAGAAACAGTGGAGTATTTTTGCTTTAGGAGGGAAAATCAGCACAACTGATTGATACAATGAAAAAGTTCAAAAATGTGTACTGTGTTAAGACCTGTGGTTCTCCACCTACACAAAGGGATATCTTCTCCTATCTTTTCACTTGAATCTCACTTGTTCTTTATAATTCTGTTACATTTACTTTTGATTTTTTTAATGTCATTGTTTCCAGGTATATTGTTGTAGTTAATGTTGTGTATACTGTTTCCTTGGCTCTGCTTCACTCTGCATCAGTTCACAGCTTTCCATGCTTCTTTGTATGCATCATTTCTTACAGCATATTAGTATCCCAATATATTCATGTACCACAACTTGTTTAGCCATTTTTCAATGTATGGGCATCAACTTTGTTCCCATTCAACTAATTCTTTTCTCTCCCTAGATGCATTGTTTTCTATGCAGAAGCTTTTCAGTTTCAAGTAATCAAAATTTTCTATTTTATCTTTTGTAACTACTGCCTTTATCTCTTTTTTTTTTGGTCAAAAATATTCTTATCTACAGCTGTGAAAAGTACATGATCAGTTTCTCTTCTAATTTTTTTAATAGTATGATATTTAATATTAAGGTCACATATCCAATTAAAATGTTTTGTGGAGTGTAGTTCAAGGTGTTAGTGTAAGCCTAATTTCTGCCAGATTGCTTTCCAGTTTTCCCAGCAGTTACCAAATAGGAAGTTTTTCCACTGGGTAACTAAAGTTTTCTACTTTATAAAACACTGGACTATTGAGTTTTATTGTTTCTGAATCTCCCTTGTCTAATCTGTACCACTGATGTATTTTTTTGACCAATAATTTTAATGGCTGCTGCTTTATAATACAGTTTGAGTTCTGGAAGTGCTAGTCCCCCTTTCTCCTTAGTTTTTTTCATCATTTCCCTGGATATTTTAGATAGTTTGTTTTTCCAAATGAATTTTGTTATTTTATTAAGCTCTGTAAATAGTCCTCTTGGTAATATGAATGGTATAGCATAAATGGTAAATTAATTTTGGCAGTATTGTCATCTTTATTACATTGGCATGGCCTATGTTATAGGCCGGAGCACTAAGTATTACTCCAGCTATTTAAGTTGTTCTTTATTTCTTTAAGGGGAACTTTGTAATTGAATCTATACAAATCTTCTGTGTGCTATGGGAAGTTGATTCCCAAGTACTTTATGTATTTTGTACTAATATGAAATGGTATTTTCCTATCTTTTATTGCTTCTTTTATTTTGTTATGATGATATAGAAATGCTCTTGATTTTTGAAGATTTCTTTTGTAGCCTGCAACTTTGCTGAAGCAATACAATTGATTAGCATCTATGCTGATTCCCTGGGGTTTTTCAAGGAAACCATCACATCATCAGCAAACAGGGAGAATTTTATTTCCTCTTTACCTACTCATATCCCTTTAATTTCCTTCTCTTGTCTTATTGCTACTGCTAGCATTTCCAGAACTATATAGAACAGGGGAATCCCTGTTTTATGCTTGTATTTATTAGAAAAGGTTCTAGTGTATCTCTATTGCATGATGCTTATTTTGGTTCTACAGAGGTGCTACTTAAGATATTAAAAAAAGGTCCTTCTATGCCCATACTTCTTCAGGTTTTTAGCATAAAAGTATTTTAATTTGTCAAAGGCTTTTTCTGCATCTATTGAGATAATCATGTGCTTTTGAATATTTTGGTTTTTAATACAGTTATGTTGATTTATTTTTCTAATGTTGAATGAGATTCTTGTACTCAGAGTATCAATCCCACTTGATCACAATTTCTTGGATAATTTGCTGTAACCTGTTTCATAAGATTTTGTTTAAAATTTGAGTCAATATTCATTAATTATATTGGCCTATATATAGTTTTCTTTCTGTGTTTTATCTTTCCCTGTTTTAGGTATTAGGACTCTATTTGTCTCAGTAAAAGGATTATGGTAAGGGACTTTCTTAATTTCTGAAGATAATTTGTGAAGTATAGGTACTAACTATTCTTTAAAAGTTTGATAGACTTTTCCTGTGAATCTATTAGGTTCAGGGGCTTTTTCCTTTGAGAGTTCCTTTACAGTTGGATCTATTTCCCTTTCTGAGACTGGATTATTTAAATCTCTCTATCTGGTTTTCTGACTGTTTTGGTACAGTAGTATTTTGAAAGTATTTCTTTATTTCTTTTATGTTCTCGGTTTTGTTAGCATACAACTGTGTATATTATGTTCTGATCATTCTTTTTTTTCTTCTGGATTTGCTGTGGTGCCAGTCTATATATTTTTTAAATCATACTGTGTTGCAGTATGATTTATACCTCCTATTAGGAAGGTTCTAGCTGCTAAACTATCATAAAATATCAGAACAATAACAAAATCAGTTCCTTACATGGCATGAATATAGATTATGTTTGTAACCTATTCTAGGATATTTTGGAATAAAAGACAAGTTACAAAATAGTGTTGATTGATTCTGTAATTTAGTAAATCCAAAAGTTCCATTGAGGCCTGTGTGTGTAAAAAGCATGACAGCTATCCAATCAAATGCATCCAGAGAAACCCAGTTCTTCATTCCATTACAAATACATGTAAATGGTCAAATTCCAGCATATGAATTTCACTCTTTATATCTATAAAATTTTAAAAGTTCTTCCTTTCTTTATAAAGTATTGAGTTCTCACTAATTATATTTTTTACTTCAAAAATCTTACCAACCCCCAAACCTTTCACCTTCCCAGTTACTGGAGAGGGTAAGCGCTATGTTCTAGTCCCTCAGGTACACAACCTAGCTGTCATCCTCGATTCCTCAGCTGGTTTTCAGCAGAGAGAGTGGGGGGAAGGGGACACATGGGATGTTTGAGGAAGGATGAAAAGGTTTAGAAGAGTTGCTGTGAAAAGTGGGATAGTGAGGTGTAGCAGGATTGCCTAACAGCAGTGAGGGCCCAGTTGAGTTTAGGTAACATGAATTTATAGACTCAGTCAGAATTTGCACGATTTTTTCCATCTTTCTTCAGTAGCATGGGTGTAGGACTAAAGGAGACAAATAGTGACAGAGATTTAAGGTTGAGGCTTGGCTGGTCATAATCAGTGATATGATAATGGCGCTTGGGATTCAAGAGGAGAACAGCATAGAGTTGAGTCAAGATAAAGAAGAGTCAAGACAGGGAGAAGAGAGAGTGGCTAGTATAGGAGAGATGGCCTGGAAGAATCAAAGAAAGGGTCAAAGGATTGGAGGTAATGGTGAGAATGAAGAGTAGGGAAGGCACAAGGAGAAGTAAAAAGCTAACAGATTATGGTCAGATAAGGAGATTTCAGAATCCTTGAATGTGTAAGTGGTACATTTATGGATGATGGCAAGATAAAGGGTATGACCGTTTTTGTGTATGGCTGAGTTGGGGTGTAAGAGTAGCTCATGGGAGGAGATAAGATTGAGGAATTGAATGGTTAGGGCATTTGAGGAAAAATCAATATTATGTATGTTGAAGTATGAGGGCAGCAGTTGGGTAAGAGAGAAAAACTGTAGGTCAGATATCAAACTCATTAAAGAAGGAAGGAGAGTGACCTTGTGATCTGTAGGCAACCTGATACCAAGATTTTGATTGATAGGAGTAGCATGACCCTATAAGAAAGAAAGGTTACTGAGTGATGGATGAAAGGAAAGAGCCTAAAAGTGACAGTATTGTTCTAGAAATGCAAGCTATAGCAATAAATCAAGAAAAATAAATTGAACAAATAAATCTTGGCAATGAGAGAAAAAAAAAGCTATCACTTTTGTAGATGATATGATGGTTTACTTAAAGTACTCCTAGAGAGTCAACTAAAAAACTAATGAAAAGAATTATCAGCTTCAGGAAAGTTGAAGAATATCAAACAGACACACAGGATCATCAGAATTTATGTATGTTACCAACAAAACCGAAAAGAGATAGAAAGAGAAATTCCATTTCATACAAATAAAGAATATCAGATTACCTAGAGATATATTCATTGCTCATGGGCAAGCTGAGCTAACATGATAAAAGTGAAAATACTACCTACATTAATTGACTCACTCAGTGCCATACCAATCAAACTATCAAATTATTTATAGAACTAGAAAAAATAACAAAATTAATCTGGACCAACAAAAAGTCAAGAATATTGAAGGAATCAGTGAAAAAAATGCTAAGGGAAAGGACCTAGCAGTACTAAATCTTAAATTATACTACAAAGCTATA